AGAGCAGGGGAGCCCCAGCAGCCCCTTCCCCAGCAAGCAGCTCCCACTTGGAGGAGGCAGCAGCTCCTTGGAGGAGGCAGCAGCTCCTTGGAGGAGGCAGAAGCTCCGTCACCGTCTCCCAAACACTCGGAGGAACTGGGAGATCAAGGCTGAGCTGCTCTTACTTTTGTATTCCAGGTGGAAGCCGGCAGCAGAGACACTGATATCCGAGTAGAAATGCAGAAAGAGCTGGTTTGAAGTGCTGTTGAGCAGCGCAGGCACTGTAGTCCCTGGGAAAACAAGAGGGGCACAAAGACAGTGGAGAGGATCTTTCTCCTCCTCCTCCGTGTCCTCGGAGATTTGAGGCAGGAGGAGGCTGAGAACAGAAAGTCCTTTAAACTTAACAAGCTCCCCTGGTTTTGATCAGGTTCTAATGAGGCCAAGTGAGGAATACCCAGGGCCCCTCTGCAATGGCCTTTCCAGCAGCAGCTGCTGAATTTCGGCCTGTGAAGTCTCACCACGGGCAGACAAAAAGCATCAAGAAGGGAAGGGGGGATGAGGAACAGCGTGGGAGGAGTTCAGGGAAGTCCACACTCCTTCTCCTGCAGCAGCAGGCCAGGGCAGCTCTACCCCAGACTCCTTCTCCTCCCCACCCCAAAGCACCTGGAGCACATTTGGGCCTTAAACCAGCAAGAACTGGGGTGGTTGTTCTGCATCTGAAAGCTTCCCAAAGCTCTGGCTCCTCCCTGCTCTGCCAAAAGCCACAGTTCCTCATGGACAAACAAAAAATACAGTTTTTTGTAGCCCTTCACACATTTTGGTGCCTGTCAGGTGTCTGAGCTCACCCCACAAAACCCACCAGTGCTGTGGGAATTCCAATTTCTGGGCTGTGGAACAAACCCCACTGGGATTGTGTTGGAGGCTCCCTGTCAGTGTTTCCCCCAGGAAGACAGAGTTCCAATTCCCAACCCAACAGGGCTCATGCTTCCCTTTAGGCCCTGCATTCTGTGCCAGACCCCAAAATATCTATTTCTCCTGCAAAAAAATCCTGCCCAGCAGGAAAGCTGTAAAAAAATAAAATGAAAAAAAAAAAAAACTCAACCCCCCCAAAAACCCCAAAAAACCATAACCCCCAGACCTTTAAATTAAGCCCTTTAGGCCCAGGCTTAAATCTGTGCTGGGTTTTTGAAGCATTTAAAGCATAAAAGCTGAGTTTTATGAGGTGAAATGCTGGGCTGGACCCAGGGGGGTGCTGAGCACGTACCAGAGAAACTCCCCAGCATGGTGGCCGTGTTATCCCCTCCATCAAACACTTCCAGGGAATCCCAGTTCTGCTCAGTGACAAAACTGATCACCTGGATCTGCAGGGAAAGAAAAGGCAAAAAAAAATATTAAAAAAATAACAGGAGAATTCCTGCACTAATGGTAATAAATTAAATTAATCTCGGTTAAAGGGTCACTAATCAAGTTGCCACACACCCTTATTTATCTGTGCTACTGCTCAGGCAAAACTTGGAGGCCTCCTGCCTTATCTGGGCTTATCCAGCTATTTTTTCCCTCTAACTCCAGACTCTGTGTCAGGAATTCTGTTTTCTGCTGCTCCTTACAAAGAGAGAGCTCCTGCAACTGCACAGCTCATTTACAGCTGCTGAGAATCCCAGCCTTTTTTCCCCCTCCTTGTTTAGAGAAATCCCTGAAGACTTTCAGCCCTTTCAAACCAAAGCAACCACGAGCTAAAAGAAAACAAAAAAAACCCCCAACATTAAACAACGGGATTTTTTTTTTTTTAAAAATCCAATCGAGTTTCTGCCTTTGCCTCGTTTTCTTGGCTTTTAGTTGAATCACTCGAGCTGCATTTTCAAATTTCACCTTTCCCTGCCACGGCCCATAAGGTTTGGAGGCTTTAGGAAGTCGCTTGACTCCATTAGTGAGAACATCAACACAATCCTCAAACGAGCAGCACACCCTGAGAGCTGAGAAAATCTGCATTTACACCCAAAAGCAGCTCATCCCCGGGCAAAGAGCTCCTGTAATTGCACGGATTTGTCTGCCACCATTACCATTAAAATGGATTTTGTCTTTGCTCCTTAAATACCGGGGGTTCAAAGCATTCGGTGTCCCACTAAAAACACAAAATCAAGGTTGGTGAACTGGTTGAGGGAGTGAGGCAGCAGAGCTGAGGGGAAGCCAAAGGTGTTTGGGAGAAACCAGCTTCAATCTGTGAGCTCTTGATGAAATTTTCAAACCCTGGGCACCTCAAATCAAACTGGGAGACCAAAACCCTAAAAAAAGACCCTTAAAGACAAATCAGGAGAATAAATGACTTGTACAACCCGGCTGCCGACGAGGAGGATGCTGGAACTTTGGGAATTTGGGTAGAATTCCCTCTTCTGCAGAGCCTCAGTTCTTTCAGATCCCTTTGGATGAAGAATTCCTGCCAATCCTAATGGAATTCAGCTGGATCCTGGCAGCACAGAGCTCAGCAGGACACACTCCCTGGGCAGAGCAGGGAGGGGAGCTCAGTGCCCTCAAACCTCAGCTCCACACACATGGACACGACCCTGGGAACCCCCTCCCTGTTTCCCCACAGTCTTATTCCATGTTTTTTCCATGGAAAACCCTCCCTTTTCCCCCCCAGTCTTATTCCATCTACCCCAAAACCCCACTTGCCTCTGCCCCCCTAAACAGCAAATGCAACACACCCATTTAAAATAAAAGAATAATAAAAAAATCAAATCAAACTCCATTATTTCGGCCACTTTAACCTTTTTTCCTCCTTGATTTCTCCTCCACAATAGAAAAGGCTCGAAAGTTCCTCCAAAGGATTTTTTTTTTAGCAGAAAGTAAGTGGAGTTCATCTGGCAGGAATTGCAGTGACCCCCACAGAGCCATCACTGCTCACACTGACCAAGCCAATCCCTCCCTTCCTGCCTCATTACACCCCTATTGTGATTTCCATTATTGAAAGTGGATTGAGAAGGAGCATTTTGTTTGCTCTTACATCTCCTAAATTATTTATTCTCCTCTCCATCCCCCCCCCCCAACTTAACGGAATAAACATTTTTAAGGTCCTAATTCTAGTCTGACATGTGGATTCACAAGGGATCTGCATCTATTTACTGCCATGTATATAAATTAATTCACTCAGGAAGGTTTGCTATGGGGATGAATAATTCATGGCAGAAGTGCCAGCTCTGTACCCTGATTACATAAAAATCCTGCAAGTGAGTCCTGCTTTAAGAAAGCTTTAATTTCACCTCCTCCCCTGATTCACAGTTGTTTAACCTTTAATTGTTGTACAAAACCAGGGTAAACTGATGCTTAAATTAGCATCTAATAAACAAAAGCAGGGACCAGGGAAGGGGGCAGGTTCTGTGGTGGGTCCAGCTCTGTGACCATCACCTTCCTCGGGTGTCTCCAGTGTCCCACCACCCTCCCAGTAAAATATTTCTTCCTAATATCTCATCTAAACTTCCCCTCTTTCAAGCTGTCCCAGGGGAAGGGGGTCACACTGAAGGACCAGAGTCCTGCTCTCCATCAAAACCCTCCCAACCCCAGACCTGCAAACTGGACTTCCAGCTTGGCACTGGCTGGAAAAACACACATTATTTTGTTTGCCTGCATTCTGTGTCAGACCCCAAAATATCCCCTCCAAAAAAATCTCACCCAGCAGGAAAGGGGTAAAAAAAATAAAACAATGAAAAATAAAAACCCAACCCCCCAAAAAAAACCCCAAAGACCAAAACCCCCAAACTTTTAAACCATTAAGCCATTCCATTTCCCAGTTTTACATGAGAGCTGTGTCTGCACAACCCAAGAGGTGAGAAACAAAAAAAATCTCTTATGAATAAAGCCAGGCCTAACATCCTGCTGCAATTCCTGCTTCCCTCTGATGGGCAAGAACAGCTCCAAGGGGCTGGAAGGGGCTGGAAGGGTTCACACTCCAAACATTGGGGGTGCAGAGCAGAGACATATTTACAAAGCTTTAAAAATTAACTGCATTTTTAAATTCAGTTAATTTTTAAATTCAGCTAATTTTTAAATTCAGCTAATTTTTAAATTTTAAAAATTAACTGAATTAATGGAATTAATTAATTAATTAAAAATTAACTGAATTTTTAAATTCCACCCCCAGGAATCTCCAGCAACCTGCAAACTGCCTCGACTGTGGAGAAGTTTGGCTGAGCTAAATGGATCCTCCTGTCATTTGCAAGAGGTTAAAAAATGGCTAAAATCCCAGAATTTGCTGGACTGGGCACAGCAAAAGCCTGGCAGAGGGTCCAAAACATCACCCCAGGCTGGTGCTGTTCCTCTGTGATGCCCCCAGTGCTGCTCCCACCCCAGAGCCAAGGTCAGGTGTGGTTCTGGCTCGTGATGGTGGCACCAGGTCACAATTCCCAGGGAAAAAAACTCCAGCCTGGGAGAGCTGAGCTGCTGTTCCAATAAACTGTGCCAAGAGCTGCAAACCCATCAGCAAACCCAGGACAGAGAAATAAAAGCACTTGATGAACAAAACACCCCGTGGAGTGGTGCAAAGAGGAGGGAAGAAACCCTCAGATAAGGAGAAGTGGGATGAATGAACCTGCCCAAGGATCCAAGAATCCTGGCACAGCCTCCCTGGGCCAGGCTCAGGAAGGACACCCCACGTGGGGGCTCAGGGGGGGCCTTTGTCTCAGCTTTGCTCTCTGATGTTTGGTTTAATTCTCCACATCCTCCTGCTGGTTCCTGCAGAGGGGATGATAAGGACCCACAGAAAGGATCTGAAGAGAGGGAGCTCATTTACCTGGAGACAGGGAGCAGCAGGGCTGGGGTTGTACAATCACACTGCTGCACCTCTGCTGGCGCAGCAAAGCCACGCTCTCAGGGCTCCCAGCATCCCAGAATTACAGCACTGGAAGGATCTACACCCAAAATACCCAAATATCCAAAATATTCCCCAGCACAGCCACACAGCCCCAGCTGGTTTCCCACACACGGTGCCTCCAGGAGGCAAAAATCCATTGGAATCTTATCCTGAGCTGGGAGGGACCCACAAGGATCATCCAGTCCAGCTGCTGACCCTGCACTGACACCCCAACAATCCCACCCTGTCCCTCAGAGTGACTCTCAGCTCTGGAAGGTCACAATCAGGTCACCCCAAAGCCTTCTCTTGTCCAGGCTGAACAATCCCAGTTCTCCCAGCCTTTCCTCACAGCAACCTGTGCCCGGTACCACCCCTTATAGCAAAGGATTTCTTCCCAATATCCCATTTAACCAGTCCTCCTCCAGCTTGAGGCCGTTCATTCCAGACTCTGCTGTCATAAATAAACCAAAGCAGAACAACCATAAATAAACACCAGCAGTTTAAAGCTCTCAGGTCTCCGAGCACCTCGTGTCTATTGAGCAGTCAGGAATCAAAGTCTGCTCCCTTTTTAGATCTACTTAAAACTCTAAAGCTCCAGCAGAATTGGAAAAGGACCCACCAGGATCATCCAGTCCAACCCCTGGCCCTGAGAGGATCATCCAAACCCTCCTGGAGCTCTGGCAGCCTCGGGGCTGTGCCCACTGCCCTGGGGAGCCTGGGCAGTGCCCAACCACCCTCTGGGGGAAGAACCTTTCCCTGAGATCCATCCCAACACAACTTCAGGCCTTTCCCTGAGTCCTGTCCCTGCTCACCCAGAGCAGAATCAGTCCCTGCCCACTCTGGCAGTCGCAGGGTAAAGGAATATCTGATCCCAGAGATTTAATTCCACGTTCTTTCCTGGGAGAGGCAGAGATTCACAACACGTGGCCTCTCCAAGAGCACCAGACACTGTTTCCTCCTGTTTTTGGCACTGTACCTGGATCCCTGCTCCTTCAGGGACTGTGATCTTCCACACACAGTTGAGGCTGTTCAGGTAGGGCTCAGGGAACCCCGGGGACAGGATGGTTCCCTTGCGCTCCGTCAAATTCCCACCGCACGGCACTGGAAGGAGGAAATCACTGCTTGAAAGTGGAATTTGCAACTGGCTTTGTGCTGAAAACACCTTTCAAACACCCATCCACGGACAGAAAAGCAAGAACTGGCTCATGATTAAAGGACAGTATAAATAACCCCAATAAATAAAGGATAGTATAAATAAACCCAAATAAAGATTTGTATAAATAACCCTTTTTTCAGTAAATATCTCTCGTAACTTCTGACAGGGCAGTGCCCAACCCTCAGGCGTGGGGAACAGATCAGCCAGGAGACTGATCCTTCAGGAACTGCTCTCCTCCAGAGGAGAAAAGGAGCTTTCAGACACATCTGATTTATTCCAGGTGCTGTCCCAGATCTTATGACAACTGTTGGATGAAAAGGTCCATTCCCTGGAATCTGAGGTTCAGCTGTTCTTGCTTAGAGGCAGGTTGGGCTTCTTTATGTAACAGAGGATCCCAGAATGGTTTGGGTTGGGAGGGACCTTAAAGCCCATCTCACTCCAACCCCCCACCACGGGCAGGGACACCTTCCACTAGCCCAGGTTGCTCCAAGCCCCATCCAAGACACTTCCAGGGATGGGGCAGCCACAGCTTCTCTGGGCAAGTTGTAAGAGGTATGAAAGAGGTTTTTCAAGTTCCATCAATGGTTTGTTTTGCTGTGGATGTCGGGGTTTTGTTTTTTTCATAGAAACACGGGACACCCTGAGTTAGGAGGGACCCACAACATCCAACCCCTGGCTTTTCCCAGGACAACTCCGAAAATCCCACCACGGAAAGGGACGAACTGTTCTGTCTCATCTCCCCCCGAGGTCACCTACCCACGCAGGTGGGCACAGACACGTTCCACTGTGCCAGGGCCCCGGGCATGGTGAGGCACTCGATGGTGGGGGAGCCGTGCAGGGCGTAGCCGGGGCTGCACTCGAACCTCACCACGGCGCCCACCGCGAAGTCGCTGCCCAGGCGGCGCCCGTGGCGCGGCTCGGGCACGGAGCTGCACTGGGTGGCACTGGTCCTGGGCACGGCTGGGGGGCAGCAGGGGCCAGGGGGCAGGGAGAGAGAGGGAGAAAACACGGTCAGAGCGCACATGCGTCGGGAATGTTGAGTGTTGGGTGAAAGGTCTGTTAGAGGCGGCGCGGAAATCTGGGTGTACCCAAAGTGCAGAGGGGCTGGGCCCAAACCGAGTCCAAATTGAACCCAAACTGAGTCCAAACTGAGCCCAAACTGAGCCCAAAGTGAGTCCAAACTGAGTCCGAACTGAGTCCGAACTGAGTCCGAACTGAGCCCAGAGTCTGAACTGAGTCCGAACTGAGTCCGAACTGACTCCAAACTGAGTCCAAATTGAGCCCAAATTGAACCTGAACTGAGCCC